TGTAAAAAAAAAAAAAAAAAAAAAAGAAAGAAAAAACATTATAATTTAAAATACCATAATAATTTGAAAAAATTGAAATAATAACGAATAAAATATTATTAGATTTACAATACAATAATAACGAAGATTGAAAATTTAATAAAATATAATAATAATAATAAATTGAAATTTAAAAATTGAAAATTTAATTATATTTCGGTAAGAAAATAAAAATTATTAATATAAAATATAGTTATCTCTTTGCATGATAAATGATTGTTTTATCTTTTCGAAAGAAGCACTGACTCTATATCGAAAATGAATATTTAAAAAAAAAAAATAAAAAAATAAAAGACTATTGATTTAACTGTTTAAATTTTATTCAACGAACAAACACTGACTTTACTTTCACGTATGAATAATAATATGTAATAATTGTGTGAGTTATTGTACTCTAATAAATATTAAAAATACTATTACAAAGCAAACACTGATTCTACGATCGCATTACACGCACAATAACTCTCTGAATGTAAAAAGTAAATTAGTAAAACGAAATGGAATAGAAGAAATTTAATATTTTTCTCCTCTTACCTTGAAAGTATATAATAATACTACGAAGTTCTATCGACTGTGCGCAATATGAAAACACGCTCGAATGTGTGTGCGTGTATTCGTGAGAATAGAGGTTATCTACTAATGACGACGTTCTTTACAAAATTCGCGATCGAAATATGATGAAATATAAAAGCAAAATCTATTTCTACTTTCTACTTTAATCTTGCTCGGTAAAATATATACATATATCAATTATGTATTAAATTCTTATTATTCAATAGTTATAAAAAGAAAATTTGTAGATGTATATACCTCGATGATTTGTTGAAATAAATCATGGCTGAAGCTGTATGAAGGGATTCCAATTCAATCGAATTCGTCATTAAACCGTCTCTGATGCATAACTTTACTTCCTAATAAAGTTATTTTCGCAATTATCTACACAAAAAATGAATAAAATTAAAACAAATTACGTTAGAATAAAGCAATAATCGAACTATATTTCGTCTGAGAAACTCTGATATAAGCTACCGGTAACAGTCGAGAAATGAAGAAAGAAGTTCGGAAAACTACTTAATTTCGATATGATAATGTTCAATAAATCATTAAATAAGTGCTTACCAAATAAATGAAGCTAATTATAGTCCATAAATCGTGGCGAAGTAGAAATAAAAACGAATCACTCACAAAAGTAACACATCCTGTCACGACGACTTTCCACAGGAGAATGACGCCATATGTAGCAGGCTCGCGCAGCCACATTGCAATTGGCTGTCGCAATACGAGTAGCGTTCTGATTGGCTGACGTTACGCACTCCTTTTCTAATTGGTTAGTATAACGCGCCAATTCTTCTAATTGGCTAAAATAACGCGGCATCTTTTCACCCAAAGCGCGCGGAGAATTGAAATATTATATAGTTCATATATTGTTATAATTCATATATTATTTAATTATTTGATTAACTTGATTTAACAGTTATTATTGTTATTACAGTAATGTACAGCATATAATACTCTTTTATCATAGAATTTTAGAGTTCATGAACATCATTTTACGTATAATTACAATCATAGATAAACAAATAATATTTAATTTGTAATACAAATTTTAATATTTAATTTGTAATAAAATTCATAAATAAAATTTTTATGAATATTTTCTAGACTATATTATGTACTTGTACGCAATATTATTCCATATGTAAGATTAAATATTATTAATAGATTATTAATTCTAATGAAATAATATATTTAATGCAAACAAACAATATGTAATTATTTTTATATTAGAACAATACATAATTTTTTTATTTATCTTTTCAAAAAAAAAATAAAATTCAATTGCTTTAAAAAAATTCAAATATTTTCTTTTCCATACATCTCTAAAACTTTCATTACAACAATATATCGTTAAAGAAACTTTCTTTTCCTAAGAAAGCACAAAAGCCCAAGATTTAAACTAACATAAAATTTTTCTAAGGAAAAGAGAGTAGCGAAAAGTATCCAAGCACCAAGAAAATCCATCGAAGAAACCTAAAGGTTTATCTAAATTGAACTTTCTTCATAGAATCTCTCTCTAACATTGATCACAATGCTGTGTATCAAGGAAAGACAAGAAAAGGAAAGCCACTTTTAACTAACGCAATTTCCAATGATTTGTTGATTCAGTAAAGACGAAATTCTTTCGAAACTTTTTAACGAACACTTTAAATTGAGTTCTAATAAGACCACTCGTAATTCTCCATTTAATGTATAAAAATGCCCTGAAATTCAGCGACAGTAACGATCATTTAATCTTTAAAAAATTTCATTTGAACACATAGATAACTTTTTATATTATTACATTCTTATTATAGACAATATTTAATATTTTTATTAAAATTTTTTAATAAAAGTATGAATACTTTGTTTACAAGATAACCATAAGAGAAGGTAGCTGAATTTGTAAGACATCCTATGTAATATATGTATTTTCTTTTTTTTGAGTTGTTCCTGGAATTTTCATTCCTTTCTCTTTGATTAAAATTTATTTCAAAAAGGGAAAGAAAAAAGAATTTAAATAAAATACGAAAAATACAATGTTCTATTTTAATTCTATCCAATTTTCCAACATTCCAAAAGAATAGGCACAGATTTAATTTCGCAATAGCATATGAAAATATGTTATGCATCAAAATTGGAATTTTTAATTATTTCCAAATTTCTACAAGTTCAATTCAAACGTTCTCAAAGTATTAATTTACATTCCGCAAAATATTTAAATAAAAGTAACTCTGAACAATAAACAAAATTTTTCGAATTTTATCGATTTTAAATTCTTCTTTCTCGAAAAAAGAAATAAAAATTATATCTTATTAATTATTTTTTTTCGCTTCGTTGAAATTTTTTCACAAAGATGACACGATTAACCGAATATACCAGTACCATCCAATTTCACTGGAAATCCAATGAAAAAAAAAAAAAAAAAAAGGAAAGAAATATTCACGGAATGGAATTTGTAGCAATGCAACAGTAGAAGTTGGAAAATTTTGGGGGGATTCTATATGGAGATAGGGATCGATTTCATTTGCATCCGAGTTTTGTTAACCGACTACCAGTTGGTTTCCACTTCCATCCACCTCGTGACGTTCATTAAAGCATCGTGGCGTAATCATGGCGTGTAGATTTTTTTACGAATTTTTTATTTTAATCTCGCGATAATTCCCGGAATTCTCGAGAGAATTGTCGCGCAAAACAGTTTCTGTATTATTATTATTATTTTTCTTTTTTTTTAGATTCGAATAGCGCCATTGCACGTGAAACGTCCTCTCTCTCTCTCTCTCTCTCTCTCTCTCTCTCTCGAAACTTTTCTAATTTTCAAATTTCTATGCAAATATTGCTCGATTCTTATTTTCGATGCATATTGGGATCGCGATGAATGAATTTTTCGAACGAGTAATATTAGCATTATGTTGAAATTTATGATATATATATATATATAACAATTTTTGACCAACGAGTTTTTGATATTTGCAATATCGTTGGATTAGCTTTTTATAAATTAATAATGTTAGGATAGGAAAAAAAAATCTTTGAAAAATCAATCGTTGATTTTTAATTAAATCTATAATGATGAATTAATTAGTAAAAGTTAGTAATAGTATAAATAAAAAAATCTTAAGTTTGGCGTGTAATATTCATAACGAGATTTACAAGTCAGTTGGCTTAAAGTTCAAAAAGAATATTTAAGCAACCTCAACTTGTATAAAGAGGCATTCCACTTTCTTAATATTAGCATAAAATTCCTTAAATCAACCAAAGTTTCGAAAATATTTATTCTAGCATAATATTTACCGATAATATACATATTCCTTTTCTATCGAAAAATAAAAAAAAAAATAAAATTGACGTGAAATTAATATCAGAATCTGATTTTTTTTTATTTTTTAATTTTTAAATTCCTCGAACCATCAAACTTTTGTTCTTTTTGTTAAAAAATATATTTGACTTAATTTCAAAAAATTTTTGACATAAGAGGTTTTCAAGTTCTGCTTGAAAGAAAAATAAGAAAGAAAATTTCTTTCTTCAAGCATTCAAGCATTCGTTCAAAATTTACAAAGAGAGGATAAAGATTGAAATACGCAAATAGACAGTTTATTTCGACGAATCTGAAAATGAAGCTAGTGACCCATTAATCGCGGCCAGATCGGCGAGAGTCAAAGTTATATACGCGGTCGTCAATTTGCTTTTCATTGACAGTGTCTGGTCTAAATTTAGTGAGCTGGGCGGAGACAGGAAACGAATCGTGGTTGACAATGATTAATCGTTGGGAAATGGATCGGTACACCAGCAATTTCCATTTGCAATAACCGGGTAAAATAATAAAATATACTGCTTTCAAAATTTCGTCCTGTATGCGATTATGATTTTTTTTCTTTTTTTTTTTTTTACACATCTTACAGAAATAATATTGAATGTGTTAATATTTGTATTGAAATTCGCGAAATACAAATAATTTTGAAGAAATTTTAGAATTGGGAGAAGAAAAATAAAAAAGATCTATTTTTTATTTTTTCACCAAACATAATTAATTTGCCAGAATTCTAAATAGATATCATAATTTGAGCGAAACTAAAAAAACTAAT